CAGACCTCGATAGCCTTCTCTCGAGGTCACCCTCCCCCGCCCGGATGTTCGTTGCCCCTTCCCTGCGGCCGTCATCGCCGCATGCTCAGGTCTATGGAAGCATCATAGGTATGTCACCCGCTCCATCCCCCATGAGAAGCGTCCTGACGAGCGGCCATGAGAGCAGTCAGGCGTTACCGCACGTGAGCGTGTGGTTGCCTCGTTTAGCTCTGCCGCTCCCGTCTCGCGAGCCGGCGGTCCGCACACGAGACGAAGGCGCGAAGCATCCTCAACCCCTGGGATGGTACGTTGTCATCGACGCCCTTTTCCAAGCGTATATATGCCCCGCACGATGCGCCAAAGTGGCCAGCGCACGCCATGCTCGGACCCCGGTTCTCTTCGTGGGTGTGCAACGCCCTTCTCGCCTCCACCGTCGCCATCCCCGTATATGCGGCCCATGTCTCGGAGCGCGCTTCGCCAATCGCTGCGGCGGAGCCCCCGCGCAAATCCAACGGGTTGACGGACGTCGTTCAATGGGACAACTACACGGTCTTCCTCAACGACCAGCGCATGTTCCTCTAGTACGTCTCCCTTCGTGTATGTGCGCGCATATAGTCATTCGAGCCTCGCAGTTCGGGCGAGTTCCACACATTCCGCCTGCCAGTGCCCGATCTGTGGCTCGACATCTTCCAGAAGATGGTTGCAGCAGGATTGAACGGCGTCAGCATTTACATCCATAGTCAGTCTCCTCTTCGTTTTGGTCCAGACCGCATTGCTAAACGGCGAACCAAGTGGGCGCCTCCAATCCCTCGCGCGGTGTGATCGATTTTGATGATTGGCGCGCTCTGCAGCCTATCTACGATGCCGCGAAGCTTGCCGGTATCTTCATTGTTCTCCGGCCGGGTCCCTACGTGAGTTTATCGCGATTGCATGTGCCGTTTGAGATATTCTAATGCCTTGGCAGATCAACGCCGAGACAACGGCGGGTGGGATCGCGCACTGGATTACCAGCGAGGTCGCTGGGACGCTTCGGACGAACGCGACTGACTGGACCGCAGCCTACCAACCTTATACCGCAGGGATTGCGAAATCTGTCGTAGGGAACCAAGTCTCGGACGGTGGTCCCATTCTCGGTAAGTAACTATATGCGCTTGTCGTGTCGATGTTACTCAATCATCGCACTTGCTAGCCGTTCAAATCGGTGAGTATACAGTATCCTAGCTATATGCGCTCATGCTTACGAAGTTTAGACAACGAGTTCACGCAAAATGCGCTCACGGGAGCATACTTCGCTGCGTTGGAGCAGCAATATCGTGGTGCTGGTGTAGTGGTCCCTCTGTAAGTCGTTATTTCATAGTCTTGCATCATCCTCTTATCACCGTTCAGAACGTACAACGACCCTTTCGAAGGCTCGAACTTCATCAACGGTACTGGCGCTGTCGATATCTACGGCCTTGTAAGGAAGCACATTATAAGACGACGGTTTCGACTAAACGATTTTCAGGACTCTTACCCTCAAGGTTTCGACTGCTCAAATCCACGCAACTGGAGCCCTGTCGTCACTAACTACCAGGCCTACCACGAACAGGTGAACCCGGCTCAACCCTGGTACATGCCTGAGTTCCAAGGTAACGCTTAGAAACCTTTCTCCACTTATTAGTCCACTCATTCATGGATCTCCATCAGGTGGATCCTTCGATCCTTGGGGCGGGCCCGGGTATGACGCATGCGAACTCTTAACTGGACCCGACTTCCAGGACGTCTTCTACAAGAACAACTGGGCCAACAACGTCAAGGCTGCTTCTTACTACATGTTCTATGGGTACGTGTCCTCTCGTGAACACCATCTATTCTCCGTTAACACCTCTCCAGTGGCACCAGTTGGGGTGGCTTCCCTTTCCCGGGCGTGTACACTAGCTATGACTACGGCGCTTCCATCAGGGAGTCTCGTGCTCTCTCGGCCAAGTTTGACGAGATCAAGCGTCAGAGCATGTTCCTTCGCTCGTCTCCGTCGTTCCGCAAGACCGACTACGTCGGGAACTCCAGTACAGGCATCGGTGGCGTCACCGTGAGCAGCAGTAGCGCGTTCGTCACGTCCTTGCACAACCCGGATTCTGGTACTAGGTTCTTCATCACGAGGCAGACATCTTCCACATCGACGTATGTCCCTCCATTCAGTGTCGCTGCACTTTCGTTGACTCCAGACCAGTGGCGATATCACTTTCACCCTTACTGTGCCCACGTCCAATGGCACACTTCAACTCCCTCAGAAGACTGGTACTATCGCGATCAACGGCCGTCAGAGCAAGCTTATCATCACCGACTACCCCTTCGGCGCTTCTAGCTCCGTCCTCTATACCACGGCTTCCGTCTTCTTCGCCGGCGCAATCGGTGCTCGAGACGTCCTCTTCCTTTTCGGTGACGCCGACCAGTCGCACGAGGTAGCTTTGACGCTGACCGGCTCTGGCACATCAACGGATGACTCGCGCGTTACTTTCGACAAGTCCACGGCGGGCACGATCATCTCGATCGCGACCGGAGACGACGGGCTCGTGACGCTCTGGGAATCCGACACTCAGCTCATCCTCTTCGCGGATCCCGTCACTGCGGCGACGTTCTGGGCCCCTGCCATCCCCACGGCCTCCGACGCGACCGTGTCTGGGCTGGAGGCGTATTTCCAATGGGGCACAAACTCCACCGTCCTCGTGGGCGGACCAAACCTCGTCCGGAACGCGTCCATTTCCGACGACGGCACGACTCTCGCACTCCGGGGAGACCTCAACGCCTCCGTGCCGCTCACCGTCGTCGCCCCTGCCACGGTGACCGCGGTGAGTTGGAACGGAGCCGACGTGGCCATGTCGGGCGATGGGAGTGGGGTGCTTACCGGCTCTCTGACGATGCTCACGAACCCGAGCTCTGTGGCGGCACCTGCCCTCGAGGGGTGGAAGTTCGCGGATAGTTTGCCAGAGATCAAGGCGGGCTTCGATGACTCGACTTGGGTCGTGGCGAACAAGACGTCGACGAACATAAACCAGAAGCCGCTGTTCGGAGATGGAAGAGTGCTTTATGGTGAGCCTCCTGAGTTCTTGTTGTGATATGCAGTGCGCTGATTTGCGATGTTTCTAGGCTGCGACTATGGATTGTATGTCTTGAGTGTATTTGATCTTCTTGCCCTCTGACGTCATCGTTTACAGCTGCGAGAACAACGTCTTTTTCCGCGGTCACTTCACTGGGACAGGCAAGGAAACGGCAGCCAACCTCACGATCTACGGCGGCAGCTGTGCGTATCTTTCGGTATCTGTTCATCGTTGCGTCACTCAAGTTCTCTCTTCAGCGTTCGCGGCGTCCGTCTGGATTAATGGCCACTTCATCTCCAGCGTTGGCGGGGGTTCCGACCATGTCAATGCGCTCTTCACGTTCCCACGTGGCGCTGTCGTCGCTGGCCAGGATAACGTCATCACTGTGCTGCACGACAACATGGGCAACGACGAAGCCGACAACCAGAAGTCGGCCCGCGGCATCGCCGGCTTCAGCCTTGTCGGTGGCACGATCCACACCTGGAAGGTCCAGGGCAAGGTCGGCGGCTACACCAACTTCCCTGACAAGGTCCGCGGCGTCATGAACGAGGGGGGCCTGTTCGGCGAGCGCGAGGGCTGGCACCTGCCTGGTTTCGACACCTCAAGGTGGCAGGCGCGCGACCTCGCACAGGGGCTCCCGAACGGGACCGCGGGCGTCGGCTTCTTCGTCACCACCGTCGACCTCGACTTCCCCACCGACGCGGACGTGTACGCGAGCTTCGTGTTCGGCGAGGCGGCCGGCCAGGCGTACCGCGCGCGACTTTTCGTCAACGGGTGGATGTTCGGCAAGGTGCGTCATCGCCATGTCCGTCTCGGCGCTCAAGAGCGCGGAACTCTGACCCCTCCTCCTTGTGCCATGCAGCGCGTGGGCAACGTCGGTCCGCAGACCAAGTTCCCGGTCCCCCGGGCATCCTCGACTACCACGGAACGAAGTACGTGCACTCGCCTCGCGGCGCTTCTGTCATGGCTGACTCGACTTCTTCACACAGCACCATCGCGGTCTCTCTCTGGGCGCTGAACACCACCGCGGTCTCTCCGAAGTTGACCCTGGCTGTCGATGGTGTCCTTGACGGTGGTGTGGGGCCGATCACGGTGAACAACCCTGTTTGGTCGAAGCGCTCGTGAAGGAGAACCGATCGAGATGCAAAGAACGAATGTAATGACTTGTACGCATGTTGACGACCGTCGATGGCGTTCTGTACACTACAATGGTACGACGGTGGGGTGATCAGTCCAGCATATTGGGGTCACAACAGAGCGACAACGATGCTCGCGGCGGCGATTCGCCAGAGGAGAGGCGCGCCAACGAGGCGGGGGACGGCGTTAACGTCGTCGTCGCCAACGGGGAGGTGGTCTGGGCGCTGCTGGTGTGTGCGCCGATGGCGGACATCAACCCGTTCTGTATGCCTTCTGGTATCCTCAGAGACTACAGCAGGTAGAAGTGAGTGGTCGGAATGTATGTCCCGGGGCTCGACACGATCGTCCCCTCAGCACGGGCTATGGATAACGTACGCCGAGGCGCACCCTGGGGTGGTGATGCGGCTCGAGGGTGCCTTGGATGGTGGCGTTGGGCCTATCGATAAGTACGAACAAACAACGAACAACCCACGATCGTAATTTTAACCTTGGTAGAAATGGTTCATACGTGAAAAAGTGCCTACGTACTCGTACATACTGCATCTCATCTGAAGTACCAGATCAAACAAGTGGCAGTCCGATGGAAGGCAGCAAGGCCTCATAATCAGTTTCTAGTCAGGTTTGAAGTCAGATATCATTAGTTCGAAACCATGAGATGATATTACCAAAAACGATAATTGACTTAGCGCGTTCCTGATGATGACCACGTGCGCTCTCGAGCGTTGCACTTCGACCACCACCACACGCCCTTCCAGCTCAAGCCCCCACTAGGCCGTTGTCTCCAGTAGCCCTGTGGTGTGCACCTCAATGGAGAAGCACGCGTGGCAGCCAGTCCACCTTCAATGCTACGAGAACGTTCCTCGCCTCGACGGGACAGGCAACAAGCGCCCCCGAATCCACCTCACACCTACGCGGCTGTTATCGCAACATGCCATCCCCTCACGGCGGCGATGGTCGACGTGGGCATTGCCTGCCCTTGTGTCGCTTTGCATTGTTGTCTTGTGGAACGCGTCGTGGCAGCCTACGGCAAGCCGCGAGCCCCAGCGGAAGTCGAACGGCCTGACGGACGTTGTTCAGTGGGACAATTACACGCTCTTCCTGCATGGCCAGCGCATGTTCCTCCAGTGAGTGCGCTGATAGTACAAGTTGTATCTTCTCATGCTTACGATCCTCTGATGCTTCAGCTCCGGCGAGTTCCACACCTTCCGCCTGCCCGTGCCGGAACTATGGCTCGATGTCTTCCAGAAAATGGTGGCTGTCGGCTTCAACAGCGTCAGGTACGTATCCATGGATGAATACAGCGTATGAAATACCAACGCTCACCACTCCTTCGCAGTGTATACATCCACAGTCAGTCAGCATCAGACTTGATGGCTTTCAACCTCTGATGTCGTTTTGTAGTGGGTCTGACGAACCCGTCTCGGGGCGTTATGGACTTCGATGACTGGCGCTCTCTGGAGGCCATGTATGACGCCGCAAAGCTCACAGGTCTCTTTGTTGTTCTACGTCCCGGTACGTCTAATGGTTCGATGACGAACAGTGACAAAGTTAAACTTTCGGAACTTTGACAGGGCCTTACGTAAGTCCAATAGTGACCGCGCCGCGTTCAGGCATTGACAGAGTGACCACGTTCATTGCAGATCAATGCAGAAACCACCGCTGGAGGCATCTCGGCCTGGATTACGGCCGAGACGCCCAGCGTTGTGCGCACTAACGCTACCGATTGGTTCGATGCTTATGAGCCTTTCATTGACGCCATCATCGATGGGACCAAGGCTCACCAAGTTACCGAAGGCGGAGCTGTGCTAGCGATACAAATTGGTGTGTTCTAGAGATATTCAAGTGCCACTATGAGTATTCGCTGATGACTATCCGACAGACAACGAATACGAGCAGAACGAAGTGACCGGAGCCTACTTTGAGCGCCTCGAAGAACAGTACCGCAAGAACGGCATCATTGTACCGTTGTATGTGTTATCGATGTGGTAACCCAGAGCTCGAAGTTTCTCACCAGGCTCACAGGACATACAACGATCCAAATATGCGGAGAGCCTTCGTGAACGGGACTGGTGCCGTTGATATCTATGGCATGGTGAGTCGTCTCCGCTCGAATCACACGACGGCGACTTCATAACATCATTCTGTAGGACGCCTATCCTCAGCGCTTTGATTGTTCGCACCCGTCTGTGTGGAACCCGGTCGTGACCAACTACCATCAGTATCACTCTGAAGTCAACCCGAGCCAGCCGTGGTATATGCCCGAGTACCAAGCAGGCGCTTTCGACCCATGGGGCGGTCCAGGATACGATGCCTGCTTCGAACTCACTGGGCCTGAGTTTGAAGACGTCTTCTACAAGCAGAATTGGGCCGCCAACGCCAAACTTCTCTCGTACTACATGTTTTACGGAGGTACCAATTGGGGTGGCCTCGCGGAGCCCGATGTGTACACTAGGTACGTGCGAGGTCGCATCCTTACTTTCCGCTAACTAAGCAACCTCAGCTACGACTACGGCTCGCCCATGCGAGAGACTCGTCTACTCTCGAAAAAGTACGACGAGATCAAGCGCCAAGGACTTTTCGTACGCTCGTCTCCTGAGTTCCGCAAGACCGATTGGGTCGGGGACTCTAGCACGGGAGTTCCCGAGCTCTCACTGAGCAACGATGCGGCGTTCGTCACGTACCTCCGCAACCCGGACAGTGGGACTGGCTTTTTCATCGTGCGACAGGACAACTCCACCACCACGTATGTGTCTCACCTCACTCACGTGTGCCTACACTGATGGCGACCTGCACAGTCAACCGCTCTCCTTCCAAATCACCGTGCCTTTCCATCAACCGAATGGCCGCCTCACACTTCCCCTCACCCTCGACGCGATCGCTCTTGACGGCCGGCAGAGCAAAGTCATCATCACCGACTACCACTTTGGAAAGCACGGCCACCTCGTGTACACAACTGCTGAGGTCTTCTTCGCCAGCCGCATCGGCGCCCGCGACGTCCTCTTCCTGCAGGGCCGCGCCACGCAAGCGCACGAGTTCGCCATGACCCTCGTCGCCTCCCGCCGCCCCAGAAGCCCGCCCCCGTTCGCCGACCCGCGCGTCCGACACCACGCCGCGGCCATCAACGGGGCGCCCACCGTCTTCACCGTGCTCCCCGGCACGACCGGGCTCGTGACGGTGTGGGAGAGCGCGGGCCAGCTCGTGCTGTACGCGGACGCGGACACCGCCGCGACGTTCTGGGCGCCGCACGTCCCCGCGCCGACGGCGAACACGGTCCCGGGGTGGGAGCACTTCTGGCAGTGGGGCACGAACGAGACCGTGCTCGTCGGCGGGCCGTACCTCGTCCGCAACGCGAGCGTCGAGCACGGCACGCTCAAGCTGAGGGGCGACCTGGAGAAGGAGGTGATGCTGACGGTCATTGCGCCGGAGGACGTGACGCGGGTGACGTGGAACGGGGACGCGGTTGACGTTTTGGCCGACCTCCATGGCGCGAGCGCGGTCAGGACGGGAACGCTCGTGATGAAGGGGAGGGCGAGGGGATTCGTCTTACCGGAGCTCAAAGGATGGAAGTACCACGACAGCCTCCCGGAGATCGAGAAGGACTTTGATGACTCCGAGTGGATCACTGCAAACAAGACCGTCACGTACAGCTATCAGCAACCGCTCTTCGGCGATGGTGCTGTACTGTATGGTGAGTGAAAACCCCGCTCTCTCTTGTACCGCCCAGTCTAACCTCGAGATCTCGCAGGTTGCGATTATGGATTGTGAGTCCGCCGAGTTGCACAGTGTTGCTAACCCGCTGATGTGTCTCAGCTGCGAGAACACTGTGTTCCTCCGTGGACACTTCGACGCTAACGGGTCCGAGACCGGTGCAAATCTGACGATCTTCGGTGGCGATTGTGAGTCTGTGTCTCACACTTTTTGTAGCCCTCTTACTGAAACCAGTTCGTAGACTTTGCGGCGTCAGTATGGATCAACGACAAGTTCATCGCCTCTGTCCAGAGCAGCACCGACCATGCCAACTACATGTTCACCTTCCCAGAGGGCTCGGTGGTTGCCGGAGAGGAGAACGTTCTTACAGTCCTCTACGACAACCAAGGCCTCGACGAGTCTGAGAATGAGAAGTCCGCGCGTGGAATCGCTGGCTACGTCCTTGAAGGCGGCAATTTCACCATGTGGAAGGTCCAGGGCAAGGCCGGTGGATACACGAAGTAAGACCGCCCCCTCCTGCACTCGCGCATCATTCTCACGGAAACCTTGTCCCACCCAAGCTACCCCGATAAGCTCCGCGGCCTCCTCAACGAAGGCGGTCTCTACGCCGAGCGCCAGGGATGGCATCTCCCCGACTTCGACACCTCCAGCTGGGACTCGCGCGAGCTCTCCGCCGGCCTCCCGGGTGGGACGGCTGGCGTTGGATTCTTCGTGGCGACGTTCGAGCTCGACGTGCCCTCGGAGACGGACGTGCCGATGAGCTTCCAATTCGAGCCGGACGGGCAACCGTATCGCGCGCTCCTGTTCGTTAATGGGTGGCAGTACGGGAAGCGGATCGCGAACGTCGGGCCGCAAACGCGGTTCCCGGTACCGCAGGGGATTCTCAACTACAACGGGAAGAAGTGAGTCGGCAATTGGTTGCTGATATACCGGATGCTGATTGGCATGGTACAGTACTGTTGCGATCGCGCTGTGGGCAACGAACAACACGGCGGTCTCTCCGGGCTTGGCGCTTGAGATCGACGGCTGGTTGGAAGGTGGTGTGGGCTCTGTTACACCGAACAATCCTCCTTGGTCACCACGCAAGTAAGCTGCGAGCCGTTCCGATCGACGTGCGATGGATTCTTCTTATCATACGTCCATGTATTAGTAGCACACTCGAAGCGAGGTACGAGCGTCGAATGTGCGGCGAGGTTACTTGCTGATAGTACTCTGAAAGGTCTAGTCCCCCTAGTCAGAAAGTTCTGTCATTCTGAGATCGGCTAGCATATGTATGTTTGTGGATGATGTTTGTGGGTGATTACCACGCATTATCGTCGACGTCTGACTCTGGAGTACATTTAGATTCTGTCGCTGCGAGTGATCATGTGGCACGCGATGACGAAACAGCACGGTTAGATTGGACACATGCCACCTCCAGTCATCCATCTGTCACACAAGTGAGAGCTCGTTCTTAGACAACATGGTGGCATTAACTGCACCCGAGGACTACACAAGCTCCCGTCGAAGTCCTATAAAGCATTCTGAACCAATCCTGAATGTTGTATCCTCGTACCTCCGAGATCCAGCAAGAACCCTCCACCTCGGATCCCCCTCCTCTCAATCACGGCCACCATGTTTAGGAAACACGGCTACAAGGACTACCACCGCATGAAACCGCGGATTTCCCAAGGTGGGGAATGAGCGCGGAATGAGTAAATTCCCTGCGAGTTCCTCGAAGATGTTCTAGCAGATTCCCTGTACTGTAACATATGTGTGAAATGAGCAGATTCCTCACTTATTCCTTGCACATTCCTAAGTACCCCTAAAAGGGTTGTGGCCCCTTGAGAGGATAAGCGAGACATTATGGCTGACAAGTCTTTGAAAGGTCCCGATCCTGGGCTTATCCAGCTGGACAATTTGCTCGTGCGCGGCTCCGCGGGCCAAGGCGCGGCCGGCGGGAGGCGCCCCGCGCGCGCGCGAGCGCGAGCGCGATCGATGAGCTCGCGCGCGCGCGCGCACGACTCGCCGTACTCACTATATGCGCACTTCATTCCCTCCCACATCCACATCACCGCTCCCCTTCCACTTGCTGCACCATCAAAATGCCACGCAACTCTACGCCCAGATACACCCACTGCTTCTGTACGACCTGCAAGAATACACCTCTAGGCTACGGAATCGTGACTGAGCGCGGGGCAGCAAGGCACGCACAACACGACGCAAAACGGCAGACGAGCTCGCAGCAAAACCACGGCTCTGAGCCACTGGGCTTCGACAACAGTACGATCTCAGGGTCTTCTCTCAGTGCTTCTGTAGACAACCCCTCCCTTTCCGGACGCGATCCTCTGGCTTCAGGTCTGGATGACCGTTCGGCAGATCCGACCCTTGGTGCTGAGCCTATTTCACCTGCTGCTGGCCAGCTGTCGTCGAGATCGTCCTCCCCAGACCCAGCATACTCCCCTCCTCTTCGCCCTGCAGATCTTCCGGACAACATTGCCCCGTCGTCTCCTACACCTCCTGGTGGTCACCGCGACTCGGCGCCTCCGGACGAGGACGGTCTCCCACCACGTCCAGTTCTCCGCGATCTCACTCAAGACCCTTCGGAACGGCTGCTCGCACCTGCGACAATTGAAGCGCCTCAGTTTCGCCTCATTTACCTCCTCACTGTCATTGACAACGCCTTCAAGCACGCCACAGGCTGTTGCAGACTGTGACAAACGACTCAAAGACCACCTCAACGTTATCAAGATCATGCAGCCTCTCCCGATCGCGCCTCGGAAGCCAGCAACGACTCTTGCAACTGCACGTCGGAGACTGGGACTGAACATTGACGACTACTTCGACCGTGTGGCTGTATGCACTGTCTGCTACAAGGTGTATTCTCAGGACGATCTCGACGCGTTATCTGGGCCCCAATGCACTGTCTCTAGGTGTAAAGGTATTGCCTACAAGTCCTCCGAAAAGCGCTCGGCCGCGCGATCCAACGGCGAAGATCCGGAACCAAAACGCGACCCCGCAAAAATCCTGCTATATGCACCGCTACTCAAGGCCCTCCCGCGTCTCCTCCTTCGAGAAGAGTTCATTCGCAATCTCGATATCTCATGCGGTGAGGCACCAGACAATGGCGGCGTGCTGAAGGACTTCCAAGATGGACAAGCTTATCGAGCAACGAAGCTGGACCACGCTCGCCTTCGCATGCCTGATGGCCAGATCGAGGACGTCAAAGCGTTCGCATCAGTAATTTCCAAAACTCCTGTGGGGTCCTGGGGGGCCTGACCAGGGTTCCCAGGAATCCAGGGATTTCGTTCCGGGCGTCCTTGCGCCCAGGCCGTTTCCGGGCGTTTAGGGTGCCAGGTCGGCCAGTTCAGTCAGGGATTCAGGGATCCGGAAGGTGGGAGGCATATAATTGCATTCATTTTCGCCGACACACTATCGTACATTTAGGCATACAGACGAGGTACAACTGACGAGCGCCGCCCCGCGCCGCGAGGGTTCTCCTCACGGAGTACATCAAGATACAGATCGCGTACGTCGAGCAGGCGTCAACGTAAGGTGCACGCGCCGAAGCAAAGCCGCTTGCCCATGATCGCGCGCGCACGAGACCGCGTGCGACGGAGTAGTCGGACGCGTGGGTGTAGTCGACGATGTAACAGCGTACCATCGGGGCGGTGAGAAGCACACCTGGCACGTAGCAGCTCAGGCCTGCACGTCCGAGTTCCGCTCCTCATACGCGTCTGGGTCCAGGTCCCACTTCGCCGACGCGACCGCGGGGAGCGGCACGGGCAGCAGCAGGCACGACACCACGAAGTACTTGTCCTCCGAGTCCGAGCCGTCGCCTGCGCTCCCGGATCCGGACCCGCTCTCCCCGGTGGCCACACGTGAGTGCGAGTGCGCGGAGGACGGAAAGGGCGGCGTACGCGGGGAGCGATTTGGGGAGGCCGTGCACGGAAGCACCCCTGCGTTCGTCCGGGTCGAGAGCGGGGGATCGTGCACCCCAGACACGAGCGGGGTCTCGAACCCGACGGTGAACTGCGGGGGCGAGCTCGAGCCGTGCTCCGCCGAGGGGAAGATCCCGTGCGTGTGTAGGTGCTGCTTCGAGTTCAACCAGACCGCGGGGGACTTGAACGCTGCAGTCAACAAAAACAGAATTTGAGTCAGCACGGAAACCGACGCAAGCCCACACGCGACCGCGCGCGGTTTGCGCCCGATTGCAAGTTCATGTGCGTCGCTCGGCCGCTCGGCCGCGGGAACATCTTGGCTGACAAAGATGAGGATCTGGACGACGGTTTTATGGATATGTTGTGAGAAACGAGTATGATATCGGAGCGGACACACCATTATATGGTTGCGGAGGGAGGTGGGCGCGAGCTCATCAAGGAGGTTGGTGTCGTACCTGGTGTTGCACAGAAGTCCGGTCTTGGCGTACAAGTGCTGGCGGAGATGCTCGAGCCTGACGTACAGCGGGATACTGGACGCTTCAGATAAACAACTCACCCAGTATTGATCGTACGCCCATCCACCTGACACTTTCTGTCCCACACAGCCGAAAGAAGGGTGTAATAGGTCTGTCGAAGCGTCGAAAGATGATCAGAGATATGTTGGATATGGGCATCCATAGTACCCACCTTATCCATAGCATGAAGCCTTCATATGGGCTTGGTGTGGCTTGTTTCGCGTTTGTGAGCACGCTGATAGCGCTATGACTTGTCCTCAGGCGGTGTGTCAAGTGGTGGAGATGGGAGGAGGGTGAGAGGCGACTCATGTTAGGCGCCCTATTCCTTCGCGTCTTCGGTGCCCACCGCACGCGGCTTTCTCATCTTTCTTCTTGACCCAATCTCACTCTGCTTTCCTTCACTCCCGCGTTTTTCCCCGTTGTGCGCCCTAGGGCTGGCAGGCTTCTCTTCTCCAGTATCAGCTCCGCGCAACACCGACCTAATGCTGCCTCCGATAAGCAGGTGGAACTTGGAAGACGCTCTGTTCCGCGAGCTTACCACGCAGGCTGCTGCAGGCGACATCCCTCAAGCGAAGGCTACGCTCTCCGCATGGCCAGGTAAGTCCTCGCTGTAGTTGTCCATTTGAGCCACGCAGATGTAGCCCTCCTCTAGGGATCGTCACAGGTATGCCCAACCCGCGCAGGTCACGGGTGCCGGTGAGGGTCGCGCAGGTATCGACTGTTACGATCTGAACCTCGAGAATGACAACTCGAAGATCGTACGTGTTGTCGCTCCCGTTCTCTTCAATCTTGTCATACTCACTGGCCGCCCTGAAGACGTGCATCGTCAACTGGGAGTTCACCACCGCACGCCCGATTTGGGCGTGCGCGCACGTCTCCGCCTTCCTACAATCTTCGCCCTTCAATGCAAACTTCTCTTCCGCGCGACCGTCGAGCACCTCGCCCGCTCCCCCGATGTGCTCATGATCCACGGCCGCCCCGTGCTCATCTCGCTCGCCGACCTTGCTCGCTTCTGGCTGTACTATGAGGCGACTGGCATGGCTCGGCGTGAAGGAGGCGCTCGTCCTCGGCCTCAAGGTGCACGACCTGTAGGTGCGCGCGGAGGATGGGTTCGCGCTGCCCGGGGGTGCGATGGTGCGCGAGGCGGTGGAGGAGGACATCGCCTGGTGAAAGTGTCCGTTCCTGGTCGGTGAGCACTTTCCCATAACCTCTTATTGATCCTGCTGAATCGCGCAGTCGCGACCGTCGGGACCACGAACACGGGCGCGATGGACCGCGTCAACGAAATCGGGCAAATCCGTGAGTGCGGGGCCTACGGTTCTCAGAGCGCCGTGGTTGCTGATCATGCCGACCGCGTCCAGTGAAAGACTACCCCTTCATCTGGTTGCACGTCGACGCCGCGTGGGCCGGCATATCCTTTGTTTGCCCCGAGTACCGCGAGCAGAGCCAGCTCGCTGCCATCAATGAGCACGCAAACTCGTTCTGCACCAATTTCCACAAGGTCTGCCGTGCGCCCCGTCCCGCCTGCCCGCCCCCGCTAACAGTGTGTGCAGTAGTGCCTCGTCAACTTCGACGCGACCGCACTCTGGGTCTGCCAGCACCGCGACCTGATCGACGCACTCGACGTCACCCCCACGTTCCTGCGCACGAAGCAGTATGACGCCAGTCAGTCGCTCGCTCAACTCACGCTCCTTCGGGCAGTCCACGCCCTCGTGAGAGGAGCTGTCGCGCTGGTTGAGCGTCGTGAGCACTGAGCAGTGGCCGCGCCGGGAACGTGATGGCGAACACTACCTTCTGCGCTTGACGTGTACATTAGAACACTTTGTATACCTATTCTTATCTGTGTTCCCATCCCTAGGCCGCCGCCGCCGCCGCCGCCTGAATCCCTGCGCGCACCGGGCACCCTGGATCCCTGTGCCGCCCTGTGCGTCCTGTATGGTCCCGATTCCCCTGGATTCCTGAAATCTCTGAAATCCAGGGACCCAGGGATTCAGGGATTTTGGAAGTTACTGATGCGCTGGACCCCCACGAACGCTCCGGTCGATCCCATTCGGTCTCAGCCTGACCATCAATCTTGATTGGTATGCATTAGGATACGTTGCGCCACCTTGAACCCACACTTACTAACACAACATTCAGGTTCGGTGTCACGAAGGATCGTCCCCATTCCGTGGGCGCATTATACGTAACTTTCAACAATCTACGACGCTCAGTTCGGTACCTACAGCGCAATGTACATCTTCTAGTTGTCATTCCTGGGCCGAAGGAGCCAAGTCTGGAGGAGATCAACCATATTCTGGCGCTCGCGACACGCGAACTCAAAGTTTTGTACACTGGTACGTCTGATTTCTGGTATCATACTTCAAGCTAGTTTTACGCGCTGCAGGGATCTGCCTAGACGCATATGGATACAGCGATCCAGTGGAGGTACATGCGGCTGTCGAGTGCCACTCCAGCGACGCACCTGCAGCAGCAAAGGTCAAGGGGTCTGCAGGTCACTCACACACTCTTTTGTGCTCCTTTTGCGAGGTTACGCAAGATCAGCTGCAAACGGCCGAGGCATACGTGTATTCCAGTACGTCCCATTATCGTGTCGGAAGCTGCAATTGTGTCGGAGGCTGCGTATGAGCGTACTGTGTCAGATCGGAAGCTGCGCACGAGCCTCGTGGTGCATCGGGAGCTGCGTGCGAGCCTCGGGAGCCGTGCGCGAGCCTCGTGGTGCATCGGGAGCCGCGCGCGATTGTACCACATGATTTGGAGGCTACACGCGAGCATAGGGCAAGCTGGCAAGCGCACAGCATATCATGTTGTGCTCTCGCAAGTGCGCCTCAGACTCTAAAGCCGTGGTCTTCGAGCGAGTGTGCTGCTTCGGATTCCACAATCTCGGGAGCCTGTCACAGGGACTCAACAGTGTGCTGACATCGCTCTTAGAATTGCGCCTACGGGATGAGTTCGAGATGCTCAGGTACTCGTTTCTCTCCAAGGATGCCTCAACAAAGAAGGCACGGAAACAAATTCTGGACGAGTCTGGGAAACGTTTTTCAGCGATGGACGAGCTGGTAGGATGGTCCCCTGTGTCATCCTCGGCTGTCGATTTCATGCACAACTTCTACGGTGAGCCTTCTATGTCATCCGAGGCCCCGTAGGTCGCAGACTGGACTCTTGACCTGCCGGCCACGCACTCCGGCTGCACACACCAGGCGCGCCTAGCTGATCACGTGGGGTGTGGTTGGCGGTACACATTGACTGTGTTGAGACTTGACTGCGGCACTGCACGCACTGTCTGGTCCATCTGTGCGCGCGCGAATGGGTGCACTAGGTGCGCAGGATCGTGGGTGCGAGCCGCCGCATGCGCTGGGTGAGCGGGCTGTGGGTGCCGCAGGGTGCGCACCCGCGCTGGAGATCTCTAAGCTGACACGAGCTATACGGCAGGTATTGCAAAGTACATGTTTTCTACCCTTCTGATCGATGGGTATCTGCTCGACACCAAGCGCTGGCGGAGTCTTCAGGCGGTTGTCAACTCCATTCAGTGGCCATCGTGCGTTGGTCGCCTTCCCAACAACGTGAGCTCATGCTTTCTGCTCAGTGATATTGTGAGCTGATATTGCTTTGAGCTCGGGGAAAATCGTGGGCTTCCAAAGGCCGACCAGTGGCGTCGCTGGGTGAACATCCAAACCACAGTGCTTTGGTGTGTTTGGCGCGACGAAAATGACAAGCTTGCTGGCTCCGAGGCGTCTCCAATCCCGCACAATGCCTCAAAACGACCCACATTCACACGAGACATCTCCCGTATTTATAGATTATTTCTGTATGCGTCCATTGCTGAACGCATTCTCGCCTCAAGACAGATCACCCTCGACGACGTGAAACGTGGTCACGGCTTCATCCAAGATCTCTGCCGTGATCTCGTCCGGCTGAATGTACACATGGTGCCCAACTGCCACTATGCGTTGCAAACTTGCACTACCCAGTGTTTTATGAACGCTTCGGACCGGTGTACGCATGGTGGCTCTTCGCACACGAACGCTTCAACGGGATTCTTGCTGATGTCAACCTGAATGGTCGCCCTTGGGGTGAGATGGAGCTCACGTTGATGCGGAACTGGCAGTACAAGCTACGCTTGTATGAGCTTGTGAGTGCGCCTCTGGGTCCCGGTCAATGCGGATGCTCACTCGTGTTCGAGGTTTCCACACTGCCGCCTGATGCAACTGAGTACGAACGCGCAGAGCTGAAAAGTATCTGCCGAGAGCAAGGCGCAGTTCGTGGCACGCTAGGGACACAGATCGAGGCATTTGCGCATGGCGCATCAACCATCAACACACCGCGCCGAAGCTCCAAGACCTTCATCAATCTTCGGCAGCTTGAAGATGGTCGCCTCTACCTGCCCCTTCTCTATCATCTCAGACGTGTTTTCCCCCACCTGACTATTGGCGACGAGCATGATTTGCGACCTCACGACACAACCTTCCTTGCACACAAGGGCACTCAACGCTTTCCTTTCATCTCAAAGGATGCAATTCGGTACGGATCAACTGCGGACACTCGCACTGACTCAGATCAGCACGCTTGCGTCGACTTTGATGGTATCAAGCGCATTCCTTGTCGTATCAGGTACCATTTCGAGATTGAGCTTGTCGGACAAGCCCCCGTGTTGTGTTCAGCTGTCGAGCGAATGGTCGCCGGAGAAGACATTCCGACGTTTCCATGGTCAATGTAGTGCGTCTTCGTCCGCACCTTATGCACTCCCAGTTGCCTCCTCACCCTCCCACAGCTCAGATCATCTAGGTGTTTCTGTTGCATATGCCGAACAGTATCACCCAGTCGAGATCATTCCAACGTCCTGGCTTGCTGCCGCAGTGGCGATCGTACCAATCACGGCCCATACTGGGCCTGGATCACTGGGTGGCGCCAGAATACCCTGCCACTGGCGTTCATATCAATGACAACATACACCGCTACTGGCGTTCGGATAAGCTCATATGAGTGGGCGCTCTATACCTGCTACTACCGTCTATATGTACCACATAGCCACACATATGAGTGCCCTCACACCCTGCCACCTATACATATTATAAAAGTGGCTGCTTATATGAGTGCATTAGTGTCTTTCCCTCATATGAACTTTGTAGCGCCTTGCCACTCATATGAGCTCGTCCCCTCATATGAGCTCGGCGCTCGCCCCCCTCATATGAGCTCGCCCCCTCATATGAGCTCGCTCCCTCATATGAGCTCGCTCTCCTCATATGAGCTTGCCCCCTCATATGAGCTCATTGGCGTCTCACCCCTCATATGAGCTTATTAATATCCCACCCTTAATATGAATGCACCAGCATTCCACAGCTCCCATTAGCACATCTGGGAACTGGCATACTCTATTGCATGCCTGTGTTTCTTTGCATGTATAGGTGCACCCATGCCAGAGCAATTCTTCAGCTTATCATATCACTGAGACACAGGAACTGTACTCTGAAAGGACAGGAAACTGCACCAGCTGTGCAACCGAAACAGACAGAATGGGTGCCCATTAGTTCCATTTTTATTCACACAATGCGCAAAGAGAGAGCAAGAAACCCATGATAGAAAGTGCAAGGCTCAAGCCGATCTCCGCAATCGGCAATTGACTCCCCCCGGGGGTCACCTCCGGGCCGGTAATTGACTCCCCCCGGGGGTCGATCTCCGAGTTTTTGATCACCTGTGTATCTCCGAGTTTTTGACCACCTGTGTACCTCCAACTTTTTGATTGCCTGTGTATATTGTCAGCCTTCATTACCAGACTGCCTGTATCTATTACCGAGTTTTTGGACATCTGTGTGTATTACTGCTTTCATTGCCGAGTTTTTGATTGCTGGTGCCTGTTACCGGTCCTCATTACCAACTTTTTGACTGCCTCAATCCATCACTGAGTCTTTGTTCGCCTCCAGCCTTTGACACCGAGTTTTTTATCACTGATATTGGTAATATTAGATGAGTTAGTATGCCTGTACTAAACACCCTCTCCCTAGGAAGTCACCCTTCACAGCTGCATGTGTTGATGGAAATTGACCAAGCTGTTTGCTGGATCAGGTAGTAGCATGCAAGAGCTGTGGGTGTGCAAATCTGGAGGGCAGTAGCTGCAAAAGTGAGGGAGTAATGGGGTATGATATTCTAAAATGACATACCAAACACAGACATGGGATGAGAGTGTATCACATCCCAGACACCTAGATATATTCACAGAGGATGATTTAAATGCAATGCAGAAGAGAGCGCACAGAAATCAGGATTTCTGATGAAGATACAAGATATGTGTGGAAAGTGGAAGTTCTGAGAAAACACAACATGCATAAGTTCATGTGCAGACATTATATCAACAGGCTATTTGCTGCATCACAATTGAGTACTATTGGGGTGCTCAGATCGGAATTTGCAAGCTTATCGGTGATGAGATGCATATGGGGCACCATATGTCATTATTTCATGACATACAGTATCCTGACACAGCATATGCTCCGATTAGAATGCAAAAACATGGAATAGAACGGGGTAGAACATAGCTATCCAACGCAGAAAAGACCTTGAAAAACGGTTGAGAATCAGTGGAGATGTGCAAGGTGAGCCAGAAGTGTGGTTTATGCTGAATGTACTCTGACCTCGCTTTTCACTACAACCACACTTCTGGCTCACCTTGCACATCTCCACTGATTCTCAACCGTTTTTCAAGGTCTTTTCTGCGTTGGATAGCTATGTTCTACCCCGTTCTATTCCATGTTTTTGCATTCTAATCGGAGCATATGCTGTGTCAGGATACTGTATGTCATGAAATAATGACATATGGTGCCCCATATGCATCTCATCACCGATAAGCTTGCAAATTCCGATCTGAGCACCCCAATAGTACTCAATTGTGATGCAGCAAATAGCCTGTTGATATAATGTCTGCACATGAACTTATGCATGTTGTGTTTTCTCAGAACTTCCACTTTCCACACATATCTTGTATCTTCATCAGAAATCCTGATTTCTGTGCGCTCTCTTCTGCATTGCATTTAAATCATCCTCTGTGAATATATCTAGGTGTCTGGGATGTGATACACTCTCATCCCATGTCTGTGTTTGGTATGTCATTTTAGAATATCATACCCCATTACTCCCTCACTTTTGCAGCTACTGCCCTCCAGATTTGCACACCCACAGCTCTTGCATGCTACTACCTGATCCAGCAAACAGCTTGGTCAATTTCCATCAACACATGCAGCTGTGAAGGGTGACTTCCTAGGGAGAGGGTGTTTAGTACAGGCATACTAACTCATCTAATATTACCAATATCAGTGATAAAAAACTCGGTGTCAAAGGCTGGAGGCGAACAAAGACTCAGTGATGGATTGAGGCAGTCAAAAAGTTGGTAATGAGGACCGGTAACAGGCACCAGCAATCAAAAACTCGGCAATGAAAGCAGTAATACACACAGATGTCCAAAAACTCGGTAATAGATACAGGCAGTCTGGTAATGAAGGCTGACAATATACACAGGCAATCAAAAAGTTGGAGGTACACAGGTGGTCAAAAACTCGGAGATACACAGGTGATCAAAAACTCGGAGATCGACCCCCGGGGGGAGTCAATTACCGGCCCGGAGGTGACCCCCGGGGGGAGTCAATTGCCGATTGCGGAGATCGGCTTGAGCCTTGCACTTTCTATCATGGGTTTCTTGCTCTCTCTTTGCGCATTGTGTGAATAAAAATGGAACTAATGGGCACCCATTCTGTCTGTTTCGGTTGCACAGCTGGTGCAGTTTCCTGTCCTTTCAGAGTACAGTTCCTGTGTCTCAGTGATATGATAAGCTGAAGAATTGCTCTGGCATGGGTGCACCTATACATGCAAAGAAACACAGGCATGCAATAGAGTATGCCAGTTCCCAGATGTGCTAATGGGAGCTGTGGAATGCTGGTGCATTCATATTAAGGGTGGGATATTAATAAGCTCATATGAGGGGTGAGACGCCAATGAGCTCATATGAGGGGGCAAGCTCATATGAGGAGAGCGAGCTCATATGAGGGAGCGAGCTCATATGAGGGGGCGAGCTCATATGAGGGGGGCGAGCGCCGAGCTCATATGAGGGGACGAGCTCATATGAGTGGCAAGGCGCTACAAAGTTCATATGAGGGAAAGACACTAATGCACTCATATAAGCAGCCACTTTTATAATATGTATAGGTGGCAGGGTGTGAGGGCACTCATATGTGTGGCTATGTGGTACATATAGACGGTAGTAGCAGGTATAGAGCGCCCACTCATATGAGCTTATCCGAACGCCAGTAGCGGTGTATGTTGTCATTGATATGAACGCCAGTGGCAGGGTATTCTGTCGGCATGCGCTGCCTGGATTGCGCCGAAACCTCTGGGTTGTTCACTCGTTCGATCGCGTGAGTTTACCTTATACCCCGCATACACCGGCTTAACACGCACGCGCACAGACCGGACTCGAGCCCAATGATACGTGGTTTGATAACCTCGAACAAGAACTACAAGATTGATAAGCCGCATGAAAGCACGTCAAGTCCCCCACACCTGTGTCATGTTCCCGAAGAGGTCGTCATCATCTGCCCCTCGTGCGAGTGCCGCGCGACTAGCCTCAGCCGCTTGTAGGGATCACCAAGGGTCCGGGTGACCCGTGCGGGTTCGCGGGTCCGGGTACCACGGGTCCGGGTCCGGGTCTCATCTCCAGGACCCGTGGACCCTTGGCACCCGTGAGGAGGAGGAGTACTGAACGTTGAACACCGGGCTGAACACTACTAGCTATACAGTTGCTTAGTAAGGGTGGCTGGAGGCCGGACAAAGTACATGTACGTATACCACTCGGTACCGGTACCCCTCATGTGCACCGTCTCGCACACACTGTCTCGGCGCCTGCACCATCTCGCCCAGTGCTCTGTCTCGCCCGTGCCCTCTCTCACCCACGCACCGTCCCCCTCGCCCCGTCTTCCTCGCACGCACTGTCTCTCGCCTACGCCGTCTCCCGTGCACCGTCTCCCTCGCCCGCGCCGTCCCTCGCCTGCATCCGCCGTCTCTCGCCCGCGCTGTCTCTCGCCCGCGCCCTCTCTCGCCTGCACCCTCTTGCCCACGCCGTCTCCCGCGCACCGTCTCCCTCACCCACGCCGTCTCCCTCGCCGTCTCTCAGCGCCCCAGTGGGCGGCAAGGACGCGTGGCGCGCATCGAGTGATGCACGCCACGCGTCCCTCCCTTCCTTGCTCTCCTCCACCGCCTGCTCCCTGCTCAGCCTCACCGTCTGTCCAGGCAAACGATGGCGACTACACAGTCGTCTGTCGTCTGCTGTTGGACTGCAGTGTCACTTGGTGACACTGTTCTCCCCTCCCCCACCTCGACCTCGACCTCGGTCCTCCATGCCGTCCTTCACCCACCTTACCGGCCTCCCTCACAACGTCGAGGGCGCATGAGGACGTCCATCCGGACGTCACCAGTATGGAGATTGGAATATGGGGGCCGCGGCGATGTACCGCAGCCCCTGTTTTGGTGAGTCCTCCGCCCTGCCCTGCCGTATTCCCAACGCCCACCCGTCCTCCCTGCCACCCAGTCGACAACTACACGGACGTCCTCCTCCTCTCGGCCCTCCAAGTTGCCCTCCTCCTCTGCGCCGCTCTCCTCTGCGCATGTCGCCCGCCTCTGCATCGCCGAGCTCGTCCTCCTCCGCTCGCGCTGCCTGCGCACGCCGCCCTGCTTCTCCTCACCCTCCTCCGCCCGCTCCTGCCGCCTCCTCCGCCCGCCCCTGTCGCCTCCTTCGCGCCGCCCACCCCCGTGACTTCACGCCACCCTCCCACCTCCGCCTCCGTCCGCGTTGCCCGCCTCCGCACCACACTCCTCCAAACCGCGCTCCTCCGCCCGCCTCGCCCTTCTCCGCGCTGGCCTCCACCCTCCTCGCCCGTCCTGCTCCTCCTCGCCCTGCTCCGCCTACGCTTCTCACCCCTTTCGCACCACCCACCTGCTTCCTGCCGCCCGCCCCCGCGTTGCCCGCCTCCTCCGCATTGCCCGCCTCGCCGTTGCCCTTCTCCACGCATGTTGCCCGCGTCCGCCTCGCCCGCGTCCGCATCGTCTTCCCCCACGTCCGCCTCGCCTGCGTCCGCATCGTTTTCCCCCGCGTCCGCCTCGCCTGCGTCCGCGTTCAAGCCCTCCTCCGCGTCGTTCAGCTCCTCCCGCCTCGCCTCCTCCACCTCGCACACCACTTCCTCTGCCTCGTCCCGGCCCTGCGCCTCCTCCCTCGAGCCCTCCTCCATCTCTGCCTCGCCCGCATCCGCGTCGCCTACCTCCGCCCGCACGCTGCCCTCCTCCGCCTCGCCCGCCTCGGCGCCGCCCTCTGCCTCCCTCCATCTGTCCCGTAGCGTACAATAAATATATTTTCATCTATAATAATGCACAGCGTCTCTCGCCTGTGCCGCCTCCCTTCTCCCATGCGCCATCTCCCTCGCACGCACCGTCTCTCGCCCACGCCTTCTCGCCCGCACCTTCTCGCCCGTACTGGAGTCTCACCCACTCCATCTCTCTTGCGCCGTCTCGCGCCATCTCCCTTGCGCCATCTCCTGCGCGTCGCCATCTTGGTCTCGCGCGTGCCATCCCGTGCAGCTCATCTCGCACATGCCGTTTCGCGCGTGCGGTATCGCATGCACGCTCTTGCGTGCAACACCTCACTGGTGACTCGTCCCAGGCCCGCGGGTGTCCGCCACGGGTGTACACCCGTGAGATACCCGTCCGACCCGTGTGCATGCTGACCCTCGGGTCTGCGGGTGCGGGTGTGCGCGGGTACGGGTGCGGGTTGAGTCAGAATCACCCGAGGGTCACCCGTGGTGAACCCTAGCCGCTTGTACCTTACTCATGTCCTCAGCAGGACGCTTCTTTTTCTTACCACCACTGTTCTTGGACGAATCCCCCTTCCTCTTCGTTCCTCTCGCTGTGCTATCGTCCACTGGATCGTCTTCATCTCCCCACAACTTCCCGTTTTGTGCGACTCGGCCCCCCGTCAACCAGTGCGGGTTCCCTTCGAGAGCGTCCTCGGTGATCATCCACACGCGCAGGCGATTCTTCAGCGTCTGCGCCCTCGGAGGTACAGCAGTGAGTTTTACCGGTCCCTTCCTCCGCTTGATGAGCAGAGCTGCGCGATCTGGCTCAGGATCGTTCCGCAGGTCGAGATCGTCGTAGCACTCCTGAAGCTAACATGGTACTAGTAGGTAAGCATCTCCGTCCTCCACGTCGCCTGTCCCAAGAGTGCTTACCATTGCTGATCGGAACCACGGCGGCCGACTGACATAACAAGTCTTCTCTCCAGCCACGACCTCGCTCTCCGACATGTCTTCATCGTCCGAGGCCGTGTTTTCAGTGAATGCGGTCTCATACTTCGGCTCTGCCCACTTCGTACCCGCGCTTTTACGTTTGCGCTGTTCCTGTTTCTGCGCATGGCACGTAGTATGTAAACACGTATTCATCGCCCTCAGAGATGCACTGACAAGAACTCACTGGTTTAGCCCGAGAACGAGCAATCTTGCGATCCATAAGAGGATCATCGTCAGCTGCTTGCTGCGCATCCTCTACATCTACAGGCTCCGACTCCGCAGGTGCGCGTGCTTTCCCAGCGCTCTTCTCTATGCGCTTCCAGTTCGCCACGAGGGCTTTGAACTTAGTGATGACGCGGTTTTTCAGGTCGGCATCGAAGATCTTCTCGAGGTCCTCTCCGAAGCCAGGAACGTACGAGTTTCCATGCGCCCTCAGAGCCGTCGTCAGGGTCTCAATGCCTCGAGCATTCATTGGGTATGTCGCATTCTGGAGCCAGTTGAACCTGACGAGACGAGTGCCAGCGTGCTGCCCGGTCGGTACCAGTGGGGCCTCTTCTCCCAGCCCAGGGATACCAGGTAGATCGGCCGCCTTGGAGAGATTTGTAACCCCCATCCAGATTTTGAACGCGTCGTTGGTCGCTCTCTGATACGAGGTGAGTCGTCTGTTCGTACCTGACGAGCTCAATGACTGACTATGGCACGTGTATTCGCACACAACTGCTTGCTCACTGCCGCTGCCGTCGCATCACCACTGCCATCTCCTCCCATGACACTCGCATCTTGTGGGTCTTGCGCCGCTCCCTCCTCTCCGTCATCTGGCTCGATCTCCAAGAACTCTTCAAGAAAGTTGATGCGGTCGGTGGCGACCTCAAGTTTTGCACGTGTGATGTTGTTATCGTGGCGGAGGACACTGATTAAGGTGGCCGTCTTTTCAACGTGGTTTTCAAGTGCTCTGGTGAGTCGTTCGATCTCTTGAATCGCCCCGTTTAGTCGCTGAAGGCCCGGTTGAGGGAGATCTGTGCCAGTGAAGTTCCTCCCCCCGCCGCTAGGGCCTGCATCGTTCCCAGGCATCGCCTGGCACAGTCGTTGGGGGAAATCGAAGGCAAGCAGAGGCGCAACGTAGTGGGGTCGGGGTTGGTACGAGACGATGCCAGCGCGAGCTTGCCCCGCTGTTCGCGCAGCCCATCTCTCTTTGATACGAACAATGTGTTTAAGGATACATGCACTGTTCACTCCTTATGCGTACATACTCAGCGGCCTGTCCAGCCGCGATCCGCAATGCCGCGCGAACGAATACCGAAGTCGAAGCGCGCGTCTGCACCCGCCGCGCGCGCATCGACAGCACGAAGCCGCGCGCGCGCGCGGGGCGCGACAGACGCCCTACGGTTATCCCATAATAATTGCATGGCCCAATATACATGACCCTCACGGGGTCTGGATTCCACTTGGAAGGAATGCACGAGGAATGTTCTCGGAATGACGGGGGAATATGTAAGGAAGGGGGCCATTAAGTGCGAATTCCCAACCCGCGGGAATCTGCGTGGAGGTCTCAAGGAATTTGCCAGGAATTTACTCATTCCGCGCTCATTCCCCACCTTGGGAAATCCGCGGTTTCATGCGGTGTACATCTTCGACTTATCCGACATCTTCGCCACCTGGCCCACAGACCTCACCTGTCCCATCGACCGCAAGACGCTCCGCGACTGTCTCTACTCCCGCACCTGGTACGAGCACGAGTGCGGCCGCACTTCCCGCGCCGCCTGCTTCGACGCGCTCGGCGCCCAATTCAGCATAGATCCGCCCGGGCTCGAAGCGGCGTGGGCGCAAGTCGTCGCACAGCTCGCGCCGAGCGAGGAGATGCTCGCGCTTGTGCGGGAGCTCCGCGCGCACTGGCCGGGCGTGCGCGTCTTCGGGGCGTTCAACGTCTCCCAAGCCGACTGCGCTACTATCTACGGCACCGGCGCCGAGTGGGACGTATTCGACGCCGTGTTCACGTCGCACGAGCTGGGAAGCCGGATGCCGAACCTGGGTTTCTTTCGGCGCGTGTTCGAGGGAGCTGGAGGTTGGCGATTGGCGGCGCGCGACACGGTCTACGTGGGCCATGATGCGGACGACGTCGTCACGGCAAAGACATTTGGCGCGCACGGGATCTTGCTCACAGACGTCAAGACGGCGCGGAGGGAGCTGTGGAATCTTGCGGGGGACCCAGTGAAACGCGGCCGGGAGTACCTACGCGCGAACGCTGGAAAGCTCGTGTGTGAAGTGGATGGGTCGGATGTCTCTGTCGTGGAGACTTTCTCCCAGCTACTGATTCTGGAAGCAACGGGGGACAGGTGAGTAGGCCCGTACTCGTTGCGCCTTTCTGTCTCTGATGGACTTCGCAGGAGTCTCGTGACGCTCCAAGAGCCCGATTGGTTCTGGAATTTCTTCCCAGGTGGCAAGGGCGTATTCACGAGCGAAAAATACCCTGATGACCTCGATACGACCTCGCTCGGCCTAGTCGTACTGAAACGTTCCAAAGAGCATGTGAACCCCATCATGGACGAAATGCTCACCTTCCTCAGCGACGACGGTCTCCCCTACGTACGTATTTCCTCTCTCTGGTGATTTGGTGTCTATTGACATGAACTCTGCGCACTCAGACCTATTTCGACCGCGAGCGCCCTCGCGTAGACCCGGGGATAGTCGTGAACATCCTCCGCTTCTTCTACACGTACGGCCGCGGGCACGAGCTCCCCGACGCACTCGCATTTATCCGTCGCATGCTCCTTCATCGCGCCTACATCGACGGTACGCGCTACTACTCCCGCGAATGTTTCCTATTCTTCGTCAGCCGCCTGCTCGACGCCGGGCACGATGACGCGCACCTCCAGGGCGCCCTGCGCGACCTGTTCACGGCCCGCGTGCGCGAGATCGTGGGCGGGCCCGGAGACGCGATCGCGCTCGCGCTCCGGGTCGTGATATGCGCCAGGTTCGGGGTGAGGAACGAGGTGGACATGCGCGCGCTGCTCCCGCGCCAAGAGGAGGACGGGGGATGGGAGGTCGGCTGGATGTACCACTACGGGATCTCGAAGATGAAGATCGGGAACAGGGGTTACACGACTGCGATGGCGCTCAAGGCGGTCGAGGAACTGGACAAGCTTAGGGAACGTGACGGCGCGTTGGACGATGAGTTCTAGACGTGAACGTGCATCTGCGCATTCGCATAAACAGTGTAGTCGGAGGCGCTGTTTGGGAGAGCGGAGATGTTCCAAACCGTTTGAACAGGGTACTTACGAATACTTAGTACTTAGTGCCCATCTTCGCCGGTTGGCACCCGCCGATGTCCTTGATTTCGTGGGAGTTGAGCCAATCCTACGACCCCGAAATACCACAACTGTAGCCTGGCGCCATTTTCAAGAGATTAGGAAGGGTTTGCATATTCTTTTTCTCCGAAAGCGAGACGGCATGAAATACGTACAGCTGCGTGCAGAAAGCTTGTCCAGGCGCTGAAAAACGCGACGCGCGTCGCGAGAAATGGGAAATTAAATCGAAATGGTCGAAAAATCGCCAGTGGTGACGCGAGCGCGTTTCCTCTCCCCCTCTCCCTCGTTAGATCCCCCCGACGGCCGTATAATGTTGAAGAGCGCATCAGGCGCGTGTTCGAGTACGATATGACGTTTTTCCGCGTACGGCCGAGCTGACGTGTTTCGCGGCAGACTGTGGTCTGGTGGTGGTACGCGACGATCTTATCCCCGTCTGCCACCTTGGCGCCCCTTGAGCCACCCCGAGGCTGAAATCGTGCCCATGAAGCATGCGTCTGCGATGCAAGGAACTTGTCACATCTATGGCGACTGTCGAGATGGCGTTGGCGGAGGTGCAGGAGCGGGCGGGTACGTGTGCTCAAGAGAGGATGCCGCCTTCGATGAGTGCCCCATTGATATCATGCGTCCCCCGTCGTCGCAGCGTAGTTATACTGTCGCTGTGATCTATGGCGTAAGACGTCTGTATGCCCAAGTTTTTGTGGCTACATTGGGAGAGTCCATGGTGGTTCACGGTGCAGCTCGCGCTCTCATAGACACTGCCGTCCTCGCTTCATGCTCCCAGCCTCATTGTCACGAGGATGTTTCAAGTCCTCATTACGCGGAACAGTTGGTTGGGCGGTAACGAGCTGGAGGGCTCTCATAAACCTATAGATAGGGGGGGATGTACAGTACTTGTAGGATGTATGTACATGCCTTCCAGTTTCGCCTTGCCGTTCGAGTGTTCCCCCAGCCCTCTGAGCGACACCAACTGTTCAATAGGTACCTGTTACTTATGCAAAACTTGAGAGGCCGTCTGGAATCAGGGACCATGTGGTTGCGCCCACGATTCTGGAAGTAGGCTCCGGTCACAGCGAGTACATGACGTCTTCGGTGTGGCGCAGGAGACGTCAAACCACCCAAGAACTCACTCATAAGAATGTATTCAGCTTCCTATACATCGTCAGACACGTTTCGAGGGGTGGCAAGGTGGCAGATGGGGATAAGATCGTCGCGTACCACCACCAGACCACAGTCTGCCGCGAAACACGTCAGCTCGGCCGTACGCGGAAAAACGTCATATCGTACTCGAACACGCGCCTGATGCGCTCTTCAACATTATACGGCCGTCGGGGGATCTAACGAGGGAGAGGGGGAGAGAAACGCGCTCGCGTCACCACTGGCGATTTTTCGACCATTTCGATTTAATTTCCCATTTCTCGCGACGCGCGTCGCGTTTTTCAGCGCCTGGACAAGCTTTCTGCACGCAGCTGTACTTACGGAAGGAGCGCGCCCAGCCCGGCCGCGGCTTGACGAGCAAATTGGATTACAGTTTCGTAAATTCATATAGATGCCCACCCAACGCCGCACACGGATCTGTCGTGAGGGGCATATCATATGGGATCGTCCTGGAGACTGGAAAACAGCCTTCAAAGGGCGCTGTCATTTCATATGGTCCTAGGAGAATCCGCCCCGCCCCGCCCACGCACATACTCGGCCGGGTCGCACCGTTGTACCCATACGTGAGTGATTGGGAGAGAGACGGCGTATCCGGCCAAGGACTGTCGCAGTGTGGGTATCATCAGACGAGCGTTCTGTCAAACGTTCAGGCCTCAGGCCCAGGACCGACTGGGAATCGAACTCGGAGCGCCA